GGGATCACCGTAAGAGGACGCTCTAATCCAAATTAGCCTTATAAAAATGCCTAGGAAAAACAGAGGATTCCCCGGAACTTTGATCAATGGATAGACCAAAAATCGTTTTTTTACGAGGGAAATTTTCGTTTGGTTGGCAAGTCTTCCCGCTGTAGCGCATAAGTGCAACACGGTGGATCGGTTTACATGGCGGAACAATGGAAATGTAAACAGAATGAGTGTTGAGACTGGAGCACATAAAGCAGCATAGAACTTCAGTCAGGCCACATTTCTGGCCCTCGTTTTAACGGAGGGATAAGCGGAAACATCTGCGTTTTGTGACGTGTATAGCGCAGTGACAAGAAGTGCCGCTGTCGCGCCTGCAAATCAAAGGTCGGTTCTTTCATATCATAAATCTTGCAAACTTCCTGTTTGGACGAGGTCTGGAACGGTTGCCTCGGATTTGCAGAGTTGCAACCGCGGCCACTAGGACTAAGGCTAACGCAGACGGGCGAACTCCGGAGCCAATTTCTTACGCAGTTCGGATTTAATCATCTCCTCTAAAGCTTAGTCCTACAACTGAAAGTTTCCGTGAATTGACGCAATATTACGGACTGCCCCTCCGAAGCCGCATTGGGACGAGGCAGGGATAGCTGTGAGGCTCTGGTTGAATTCTAGGGATAATTTTCCATTTATTTTTGATTTAAATTATGTATAAGAGGATAATTCAATCGGCTTTTTCTAAGAACTGCTCTTAGCCCTGGCCAATTAAGTTCAAGCCTCTAGAGGAGAGCAGAGGGAAGATGTGGAGGTGAGAGGGAGCTGACTAGCAACCGATCGTTGCTGACATTCTGCTCTCCGTCTGCCTGCCCCGAGCGCTCAAGCAGCGCTTGCGCTATTGCGTGCGTCATGACGTGCGCTCTCTGATCACCTCAATGTTGCCATGTTTATGTCGTTTCGCGTTTCACAAATACCACCGATTTCCACTTGGAGCCGCCACTTTCGTCATTCTCATCTTCTCTCCGACGATTCCCTTGTGATGTACATTTTCATCGTGAATTCGTGCCCGCCGTTTCGAATAGAATTTGTTCGTGGCTAGTTGAGTGGCGGCGTGTTTTCTCGCCTCTTCGGGGCCACCCCCACGTCGATAATAATGCATGCTCCCCTCTTCTAGGCTTTCTCCTCCCTCCACTCTCTTCTCCCTCCAATAACACTATGCTGCACGGTCTCTACGGTTACATCTTCGGCGCTGAAGATTCCAACGATTCCCAGGTAAGACAGCATTTGATGTGCTTCACAATACATAGTCCCTATTCCAAGCATAACATATTTCAGAAAAGAAAAATGCCTCACAAAAAAATTAAGAAATACCTCCGCGTTCCCCAGTTTTTGAGGCGTCAGATACAGTATCCAGGATAAAAATCGATATATCGATCGATTTTGATTGAGGGTAGCAAACATCAAATATTCCAGAAAAGAAAAATACCTTCGAAAAAAATAAAACTGTCTCATCATCTCTCAGTTTCGAGGCACTAGGTATAAGAACCAGGATAAAAATCGATATATCGATCGAGTTCGATTGGGATCTTCTGTAACTCTGAGCACTTCTCTTTGCAAAGAAATGTCTAATGATTTCAAAAAAAAAAAACAGTGAAGCGCTTTTCGTATTCACAGCCTTCGCTTTCATCATACCATTCTGGATATGCAAACCTTGTGCAGGGTGTGCTTATCGATCGATTTCTGTGTAGAAGTGACTTCAATGAACGGAGACGTCGTCGTTGGGTCCAGGCCGGGTGACCGCAGGACACTGGTGCTTGTTGAGCGTGAGGTAAAACCCAGCTTACTTACTATTTCAACCCGGAACCAACTAGCTGTGAACCGGGCCCGTCGGTTGGGTACGGGCCAGCGCTGAGGGTTAATGAGTGCCAGCTGATTGATGTGTCAAGCTCCCGATAAATGGCTAGAGTGTAGCCGTGGGAAGCACTGGAAATCAGCTAGGAGAGCCCATAAGATTGGGTCATAATACGATGAGGCGTTCGATATGACCACACAGAGAATCCACCTACAGGTTTCAGCAACCTATTTGTGTGTGTGTGAAATGAAAACCGGTGGACGACGGAGCGCTTGTTTTCCTCGGATGAGTGGTTTAGCCAGAAGTGAAAGCTGAGCCAATTGGATTGCGTTCAGACATGCTGTGGAACAAACCCCGTCACAAAGAGCTTGAAACTTGATGTTTTATTCGAAATCCAATTTTCAGTCTCTCAACTTGTTTTCAAAAACAATTTGGACTGAAATTTTTGAGTGTTTACCGATTTTGACATCCCAGTTTTTAGTTTGGCCGTGCACAAAGAACATCCACCCAATACTTTACGACTAGTATGTCTATCGTCAAGACAATCTAAACGAAACTGGTTTTATTGACTCGTTAAAGCAGGTGGTGTGTCTGATAGTTCGGGTGGTGTTGCGGGCTTCCTTGGAAGAATCTGTACCATCTCTATGGAGTTAGGCCTCGCGCCGCATTGTGGTCCAATACTCGGATCAAGAGCTATGAGAAGGGAGGCGTAACCTTGAAGAAACTGGCAAAATTAGAATATTGTTATCACAAAATAGCGGCCAACTGATACTGATAAGCCTTTCAGCTAACTAGTCATTTTTGGGGATCCCGGGTACTAAAGCGGACTGTGGAATATCTTGCATCAGAAATGGTGTAATGGTAAGCGGTCTCACCTATCACGTGCACGGTTTGAGGATCAAGTCCAGGATCGAGCATGGTCCGGGTTAACCAACCGAGCTTCCACCCATCTAGAGTAGTTTAATTGGTACCAGACTACGCTTGAGGAGGGTAACAACCGGACCGATTTTTATCTCGTAAGTTGTCGTGTAGGCCGAATCGTAACCACGTGAGTGAGTGGAATCAGTGGAATACACGGCAAACCCCGAAAAAGGGTTTGATTTACCCCCCCCCCCATTGCTCTTGTGCAAGATTTGTTATCAAAAATCTGGCTTTAATAGCGCGAATCGATACGAGCTTCGAATGGTATCTGAATGCGTCTATTCCTGGGAGCAAGTACCCATCCAGCATCTTCCAACTCGATAGCCCGGGGCTCCCACAAGAGCTATCGTTAGCCGTAATTCTCTGCAATCGAGCATTTGACTGATTCATTTGCAGCCTTTTCCTCTTTTCGCTTCACGAAGGCTTCTTAAGGAATGTAGCTCCCACTTGTGAATTTTTTCCTGGTGGCTGGCTGCAGCTGGCGTTTTTCCCACCCTGCTGGAGTTTCCATTATATTGTGCGTCGACAAACTCGTATGTACTTGGCACTCGTCTGGTGGAGCGTGCGAAACCGGAGAGCGTGACGGCGTTGGCCCATTGTGTCAACGGCGTTAATATGTCGCACGCTTTCTCACACGGTCGTCGCTCGCAACATATGCATTCAATTAGCGACAGCTCACTGAATCGGCTGTAAAACGCCAGAATTCAGCAAAAAGCATTCATGAACACAAAGGCGTGCGAAAACAGCACAAACAACGCTATTGATCAGAGCTTACAACAGCAAACCATGCGAAAAATTCATGGCAATGACTCAGGCAAGGGCTAGTTGTACTGCTTCTTTTAGAACAAATCTGGCCCTAATTTTAACACCGCGGGGCTGGAAAGTCTGGTTACTAGAGAGAATCGATCTTGGAGGAGCGGCGTTTTCAACCATTGTGTGGTGCCTTCGCCTCTATTGACCTATCGGCTAGAGCTAACAAAAACATTTGTAGTGCGTGCAGAGCAACAAAGTGTATCCTAAAGTATCAGTCAGTTGTATCTCCTCAAATTTTGAGTGCGATTGCGAGAGGGTCAAAGGCAGCGTGAGCTCAGAAATAACTCAACTCCATTAGGGTCTTATGCAGGGAATCCGTCCATTCACTCACCCTTCTCAAGATCATGAAAGGGAGTAAGGCTGCTTCTGCTACAGCTCTCAAACTCTGCTTTTTTAGCAGTTGCAGAGTAAAATCCCTGCAGAAGAATTTTCTACTGATAGGCCTAATAAAGCTTACTGACCATTTGGAAGGTAAGAGAATAAAGGTGATCCCCGGACCGCTCGCGTGGTAAGTGTGCCCTTGCCACTACACCACTTCCGCCCAAGGTTAGAGAATACTCTATAGAAATTCTGAAGAGCCTTCTGCTGGAGCATTTGTTTGACGCGAGGTAGCAGTGCTGAAAATTCGATTTTGACGTAACGACATTACGCGGTGTTAGTGGCGCAAATCCCTTTTGTGTCTTGGCCATAGACTTATTACGACCCATTCAAGAGCATTTCGCTAGTGGGGATCAGACATTGAACTGGCTTGCAAGCAGCTCCCTGGAGGAAACGGTAGCCAGTGGGGATACATGAGTGTATATTAAGGTATTGTTCTTTTTAATCTTTAGGCGCGCGGGTAAGCAAGGCCTTCGAAAAGCCCTAGAAAATGGGCCAACACCAGGGACTGGCAAAGCAGGTTCAATCGTATAGTGTAGTGCATTTTGGCTTCTCCAGCTTTAATAGCGCCGAATCGATCGAGCTTCGAATGGTAATCTAGAATGCGTCTAATTCCTGGGAAGCAAGAAAATCCCATCAGCATCTTCCAACAAGCATGCCCTTATGTCTTTTCCTTAATTTGCAATGAAGCTCTGGTGCCACTTGACCTGGGCGAGCTATTGCGTTTAAGATGGCAATACACCAGCTGCCCTTGCATACATATATAATATTCTCGGGGGTCAATGAAGCTTCTGTCAGTCGCAAAGCTATCTTTCAGTACCATTGCATCAGTAGCTTTGAGCAACGCCTTCTTATATGTGTGAGTAGCTTGAGAGTTCCTTAGCAGCGTGCCCTAGCAGTTGCGGAATCAGAGATTCAGGAATGTATGCCTTTTCAAAGGCTCTTTCTTCGAGCCTTATCGTATAGCCTACTGCAGGGACAGACAGACAACTGCCTGTTCAAAATGTTATGGGCTTCTCGATCGACGGATTGCTGGCTAATTCTTTGCTGTTGAGCAACTCAAGTGTTCTCAGGCATCGAGTAGTTGCGTGTGGCGTGACTCTCAGGCTTACTCGCAGTTGTCGACTACCATTCTGTGACGTAACAAACATGCTTACATAAACAGTACTGAAGAGGCGCAGGCCAGCTCTTGCTCGCGATGTCGAGCGAGAGCAGGCGAAAAACTGCCACCAAGCAGGCACTTTTAGATGCTACCCTTGGCCGCGATTAACTTTGCTAGCTGCAAGCTAACGAAGTAAAAAAGGGTAGTGGGAGTTGTTACAAGGATGAAAAGGTATTTGTAAAAGACTTATGGTTAGTCTGAAGCAGCAATCCGAGGACGCGCGCTCGGATTTTAGGACAGCTAGGCTACCGACGTGGGCATTCACCTTGACTTAGCTTTCAAAATCGAAAAAAATAAGCCTTGAAGTACTTGGAAGCGTAATAACAGCAACTACTACGAGAGGGAGTGAGGAGGTAATCGGTGCCCGAAGAAATTACATATCGGACATAGTAAAGGAACCATCCAGCTACTCAGATTTACTCCTAATTTGTGCTTCTCGGCCGGCTAGCTTACTGCGTCCACCGGATATGTTACAACTCTTTCTTAGATCAGAAAACCATTTATATACTTCTAAAAGGTCTAACTTCAATTCCTATTCAGATGCGGCATCTGGTCGCAGTTCTCCGGAATTGATCCCCAACCCGGAGCTGCGTGACATCGACCAGCTGTCGTTCGCATCGAAAAAGGTGAAGGTAACTTCCATTGTCCAATATTTTTTCGGGCTTTTCTTGCGATAACAATAATATCAATTTTACTAGTTTCACCACAGAAGAATTTCTCTATAGAAAGCAGTCATGTAGGTCTCATAGCTTAAGTCGGTTGAATTTTGGGCATCACATTCTGTCTCTCTTTGAGATCGAAACCTTACCTTGATCTCTTCGAACATGAGTGCTACCTCTGTACTTACAATGTTTAATGATATACTTTCTTATTCTTCCCTATATTCCTTCTATTTCTTATGCGTGTTGGTAATTCCCTTGCCGCAGTCATTAATTCATTTACAATCGTTTTTGTCTTCTTTGAGTTCAAAAGTCTGCCTTCCGAACTTATTATGTGCTTTACTTACCGCCATGGGTACTCGCTGATTTCGCTCCAAATTGAAGCAGCATCTGGAATGCCTTGTTTTTCATAATCTTCCCCATCTTGTTGTTAATCTCTTTTTGGTGGCAACCATCACGAGCTTGTGCTCCTGATTAACTAAACTACTGAGAATACTAATTTAATGTATTACCTTCTTTCTAGTTTTTTAGTTACTTGGTAGTTGGAAGTTTCCTCTATCGCTCCATCCCTGAGATCTTTTATAGTGGAAAACTGAACAGAGGAGATCCCACTTCATAAATTCCGGAAAATCTTTTCCACATGGGCGTGGTTCTTACCAATACTTATTGCCTACTGCTGTTATTGGTTTAAAAATTCATTTGTAGCTATGGCATATGGTGCGGAATTGCGGGCGCAGCTGGCGCTGCTTGCCCGCGCGCACGATTCGTCAGATCAAATGCTGGCCTGCTGGGCTAAACCTATCCTTCCACTCTCTTCCAACCGTCTTGTCTGGTTGGTCATTTGTCCGTCTAGGATGATAAAAACACTGACGTGTGTGCATTCGGCTGGCCCGCCATATTTGGAAGAAACGCAAAATTCTCTAAATTTTCAATCTAACTGCTCCTCTCAAGAAATCCACCCGCCGTTCGGGAAATACCAACTGTATGGACCGTTGGGCCAAATAGGTAGCTAGTGTAGGGATGGGGAAGAACCTTGTAGTAAACATGATGGTAAGTTGCGTGATCCATATTGCAATGTCACTAGCGTTGAGTACGCGGATGTGTCAGTTGGGAAGTGCGTGTGGCGCAGCTGCTCAAAGATTGATGCTCTACCATTAGTGTGCTCTACACATCTCTCCACAACTCATTTTGAAGAAACTACAAATTCTCTAATAACACATCTATCCAACTCTCATGTATGATCTTTGCTTCTTAGTTGGAACTAAACTTCATTGTGGGAGAGCACAAATCTCATTTGATCATTTTAATTAACCTGATTCAATGAAATGTGCTAGTTTGGCTACGATGCGCTACTTACTTCATTATAGAGCAGTCGGCCATAATACACCATTACTACTGCAAATTACAATTAAGACACCAATGATTACGTTATAGTGATATACTATCACATCTGTGTATTATATTTGTCATTCTTTCTTCCTTAAAGGAAGTATCGTTAAGCAGAAAAGGATAAGGGAAATTCTGACACCTCGTCAGTTTTTCAACGACTTTGAGAAAATTATACATGTTACCCAGCTGATGGCCATCACCCGAACTTCCATGACTTCTATTCTACGACCCTACTGTTAGGCCTTTAGAATTATATTCTATTAGAATCATACCGTCTCCACTCAGTCATCTTATTCTTTTGTTCAAAGTATTCCTCGAGTCGAAAGTCCGCATAACCTAATACCAATTCTATTCAGTCAGCGCCACCACCTACGGCCGAAGAAATTCGACGAAGCGAAGAATTACGGCAGGCGAAAGCCGCCAGTGCGCATCGACTCCAATTGGAACGAGTGGTGAGTGAAGCTAGTGATCATTACGTTACTTATCCACATGCTTCCTAATAACTCAACTAAGCATTTGTGCTATGAAAATTCCAAAGAATTCTACTGAAGTTATTGATTGAAGTGTTGAACATCTTTTTGAGGCTCCAATAGTTTATTTCAAAAGCCTCAGAAGTCACACGTTCCTAAGAACTTTCAAAATGTTCTGCAACATTCGGTGCTTAGCATTTTTGCCAGGCCTGAGTCGCCTTTATAACTGAAGCCAGTTAATATGAAATTATATGCATAGGAGTAACTCACGACGAAAGCGTCAAGTATTGAATATTGCAAAACATTTTGAAAACCTTTTGGAATGTGAAGTTTTTATAAACTGTTGGATTATTTTCTGAAGCACAGTTATTTGTCATCTAAACACTGACCAAGGAATGTCCTTTCAAGCCGTGCTTCGCTTTTTGAAAACGGTCTTTTGCATGAGATTAGGGCACATGCATTGAACACAGAACTGTTGGTTCATTTTTTGAGTGGCCCCTTGAATGCCCAAAATGGCACAAATAAGCTTGAGTGCTTTTTGACACCAGTTTGGTGAAAAGCTATTCGAAATGGGTTACTGATGGTTC